GAGTAGACTATTTTCCTAAAAACGAAGACTGTCATCATGGTCATCTCCGCATCTTCACTCACTTCTTTCAACTTCAAGATTAGATATATTGGACAAGCACTGGTCCTCCCAGCACCAAATGCTTCCATGAAATTAATATGTGCGTCCACCCGCCATGCGAGCAAAAATAGTTCAGGTTTATTTGAACCAAGCACCATGCACCACTCAATGAAACGACCGGAAGTTTTAACAGGATCACCTTGCGCTTCCGTATACTGATGCTGATGCTAATACACTTATTCACGGGATTCACGGCAAACTGCAGCACAATACAATTGCATACCGTCCCGACAGTCGGGTGCGTGTGGGCGCGCGTGTGTGTTAAGTTAGTGACTGTATTCTTAGTGTACGGTCACTAACTGAACACGTGGCGCGCCCACACCCCACCGTGGGTACAGTATACAATTGTATTGTGCTGCAGTCTGCCGTGAATCGTGTGAGAAAGTGCATATTATAAGTCTTCGTTTTAAGGAAAAATAATATGAAAAAGATTTTAAAAATTGACACGAAACAGGTAACAAACTTTTAAATCATGACCATTATTTGGACATTTGATGAATATTTACTTCATTTTTGGTATGTTTTAGTAGGGTATCTCCATGCCAGAGTTACTGGTCAAATTTTGGATAGACTTCTGAACTAGCGCCAAAGAAACGCAACTTGCTCCCTTTGTATATAAAACTTCCCCAATCGGTGCCTGTTGGTCCCCCATGATCCTCTATTACTTATGGTATTTGAGAGCTAAGTTGATGAGATAGCCACCTGTCAGTAACCTCGCTGTGTGGTCTAATCCCTCATGGCCAAACTAGTGCAGATAAGCTTTAAAAAGATGATCAGAAGGGTCACTTTTAATGAGGAACCTCATCATATTATATTTTGCAAAGGTAAGCCCTTTGCAGCAAATGCAAGTAAATAAAATTGGTATACCAAACTGGGAGACTGACTAAAAATTTTGACAGAAGTTTGGTATACCAAACTGGGAGACTGACTAAAAATTTTGACAGAAGTCTCTGAACAAAAAAATAAAAATCGAATTTTTTTACACGATAGCAGAGCTGACTGGTAGTTTACATGACAATGACGTTGACCTCTGCCCTGAGGTTGCGAGGTTGATTGTGGCTGGAAAGTGGAAACCCTAACAATCTGGTGTACGAACAAATGCTTATTTCGCCTTGCCAATTTGATAATACAATACAATACAATACAATAAACATTTAGGGCGCCATTCCCATAAGGCTCAGAGCGCTAACATCAAATAATATTATTGGTCTTTACTACATGTAGTAATTAAAGGCTACAATTAGATATTCCATAAAATATTAAATTCAATTGATTAAATTAAATAATTAAACATAGAGGAGAATTCATGTAAAGAGATGAGTTTTCAGAACCTTCTTAAAAATATCGATAGAGGCAGATTGTCTGATGGACATGGGGAGATTATTCCACCCTTTGGATGCTGATTTTAGGACTAGAGTGATTGTTGTAAACGGGTTTGCACTTGGAGTGTCGCTGTATTTAGCTTACTCCCACTTGCCTGCACTTAACCAGTCAATAAAAGTTGTTTAAATTTTTTTTTATCACTAGGACTCTCCTGATAAATGCTGGAGCGGTCTTGAACTTCAAGTTGTAAGTTACCATTCAATTTGAATTAACAGGTTGCTTTTTAACCAACAATAGTTTCATTTGAAGCCCCACTTCTTTCGCCTTAATCAATGACTTATCGATAATTGTACACAACCTTTGACTATTAAACTAACTTCTCCTTTGAAATTTTATTTCAAGAGAAATTATATAAAGCATATCATTATTCATTACTTTCTCAATTTGTCATTTCATTTATTCTATTTATTTCTTTTATTTGAGGTACAAAAAAATATCTAGGCAGAATAGTATGACAATGATTAGAAAGTAGTCATTAAAATTTGTTGGGAATGGATTTCGATTACACACCAAATAAACTGTTCTAGAAGTATATGTAACATTATTACCCGTATCAGACATCTGAGCTGGTCAGTTACAAAACTGTATTGCCCTAGTTTTCACTAGCAGTGGGAATGAAGGTATATATTCTTTGTATTTTACTTGGTCTCCCTGCCTGTATAGACTTTACGTGTAGAGGCGAGTGAAAATTAGTCTCGTATTGACCACGCCGTATTTTGCCATTTTCATTGCGCATCTATTAAACATGCGCACTTTGAGGCACTTTATTGTGACGTAATAATCACAACAAAGGCACACTGTTTGCAGTGTATCGAAAATTTTGTCAAGCACTGCTGGTTGACAAAGTTTGTTCAGTTCTTTGGGATTGTCATGGTTGATTTATGTATTCGCTCTAGGTGTCTGATTTGGATAACAATAAAAATATATAACTGGCTTAACTTTCGGTAGATACCACATATATTGCCCTCACAAGACCCATATTGCCCTCGCTTTGATTCGGGGCAATATGAGTCTAGTTTGGGCAATATATTTGGTATCTCCCTCAAGGCCAGTCAGTATTATATAATTGTATTGTATTGCTCTTTAATTTGAGATAATGGTTTAATTCTTTTGTCTTTCATTTTGCAGCAAAAAAAGAAGTGATAATAGTGCCTTTGATGACGGAATCATGGAGCCAACGACAGGTTTGTGGTTTCAGGAAATTTCACGAGTTTATAAACTATATTATTGCAAATACAATGTATATAAGTGAACTATATCTCTGTACATTTAGAAGTTACAGGACAACGCAACCGCATAACTTGGTATTTTGTGAATATAATAAACCTACACATTCACTTTGTAAATCAAATTCTTTTTTCATAAAATCACACAATTGTTGACAATGTATGCTTTCTCTTTTATTGAAGTGAGTGGGAGGGATTAAAGAAATTTTAATTTGCATGTGACAGGCATTTTGAAGTGTGAATAAGTTTTCAGTAAATAGTTCTATTAATTCGATTGCTTCTAGCTGTTTAGGTATCTGTTTGAAAAGTTTCTTTCCAAAAGGTGCATTATGAAATCTGTATGAGTTCTAACCATACACTCGTAGCAACTACTTCTTTCAAATGTCATTTCTTGTCATTTTTCAGGCGATAAAGTTCGTGAGTTTTTGCTGAATCTAAGATACTTCAGGATATTTATTGCTTTATGGAACATATTGATTATGTTTCTCATGCTGATGTAAGTACTACTATACCTATCCTTTTATCTTTGTGTAATAATAAGGCAATTTCTTAAGTTGAACAATGCATTTCCTCCATGCAACTTCTTAATAATTATATTAAATCTGGTGCTTTACAAATACAAAGTATAATGATCAACCCAGTCTTGAGGATCAATCATGCACGCATCTGCAATCCCTGGGAAGTATTCCTACCATAATATTAAGGTGACTGTGAGGGCATATCGAGGCCCATAACTAAGATTTTATTGGGGGGGGGGGGGTATGCAGACATCATTAGAGATGCCAACCAGTACAATTAAATCGTATTCAGTACGATAAATACGATATCACCTCTTAAAATATAAGTTAGTTTTTATTTTTTTTAAACCCATAAAAACAGCGGAGTCGCATAGAAACATGTACAAGTAAACCCCCGCAACCCCAACAAAAACTTTGCTTCACAATTTTCTCAATAAAATGTTAATGAAAGAGCATACATTTTAATTGACTGTACTTACCAGTAAAACATTTTTCTCAAATTTTACTGGCCCAGGGCCTACGGGTCAGTGGTAGTGTCAAGTTTTGTGAAAATCTGATTTTTTTTTTTTTTGATACTCGGTCTGTTTTTTTGTGTCAAGAGGTTGGCATTTCTGCATTATATGAGGTGGACCCTTTCGGGTGCACTTTGCCTAATATGGCAATTACTATCATGAAGGGTTTTGTCATTCTACTAAGTCCCCATTTCTCTCCTGGGTATGAAGTGGCAAAAGTAGATTAATACCTTGCCCAAGGACATTAGTGCCATGTCGGGCATCGAATCAACATCCTTGCATTTCCATTCAAGTTCTCAAACCACCCAAAAAAGATGCATCTACAACTGTCAGATGAATTTCTTGCAATATGACTACCAGTAGTTAGATATGTCCAACAAATATATAACTGTATACTTTTCTTTTTTTTGCAAGTCTAAGCTATTTTGCCCCATATATGCTATCAATCACACCTAGGATTTTACTACAGTACAATGTACATCTGGGGGGTGTTTCACAAAACTTGTCATCAGTGACAACTGACAGTTTTTGTTATAAGCTACTGAAATCCTTGCTTCTGATTGGTTATCAACAGATTTGTCACTGATTTTTGTCATTTGTCATTGAAAACAGGCATTGTGAAACGGGTCCCTGATCTTTGTTTTTAGTAAATAGCCCTACAAGATCTAATGCCAAACCTACTATGAAGTGAATTGACACATATGATATCAATTTATGTTAAGAAATCTGCAATACTTGGTTACATGGGACACCAAAAGACCAACCTTGGACTTGCCTTTTTCCCCCAAAAGAAGAGAAAACAAATCACAGATTGCAGTTCTGTTAAAAAAACATGCACACAGACAGGGACCATGGGAGTGTTTCACAAAACTTGTCATCAGTGACAAATGACAATTTTTGTTATAAAGCTACTGAAATCCTTGCTTCTAATTGGTTATCAGCAGATTTGTCACTGATTTTTGTCATTTGTCATTGAAAAAAGGCTTTGTGAAACACCCCCATGTCTCCTTATTGTGCCAGCTACCATAACAAAAATGTTCTCTCCTTTAGTCTCCTATTTAGTATCCCTCTGATTTTAACCTCATTTGTGACTTTATTTGACAGATTCTTCGGATCGTGACCCTGTCATGCCACATGTCTAAGGCCTGGAACGAGTCTGCAATACAATACACCTGGTCTGCGCATTGAAGGTGGTGTTATCTTTCCAGTTGGAGTGAGTTACTGACAGAAACTTCATCGCAAAATGTGAACAAAACTTCTTGAAAGAAGCTCTATATTGGAGACATAAATTCTAAAGTGGGAGAAATTGATGCTCCCTGTGATTGGCCAGCGCATGGTGCGGACCACCAAAGAAGACATAGTTGTGAACATGTGCCTTCTTATACAAATGTATTGACCGGTAGTCATAAAAAGGGGAAGTCCCCCCTGATATTCAGTTGGTGTTAATAGAAGCAGAACAATGAGAGAAACAGGTCAGTGAAAGTTCGAGGAAAAACCTATTAAAAATAAGAAAGTTATGCTTTTTTGAAGGCACAATCAATTAAACGCAAATTGGCAACTCTGTGACGTATCTTGCAAGGTCCCCTCCCATTCACCCTTTAAAAATCTATGTTGTCCTTTAAGAATATTTTCATTCATGGCATTCAACCTAAATATATTTATTGCAAATACGTTTTTATGCAACCCCTGCATGAAATAGATCTATTCTGTCATCAATAAACCTTTATGTACAGAGCAAATTGGAGAGGAGCTCACAAGATACATCAGTGTTGCTAATTTGTGTTTCACTGATGATAACTTCAAAAATTCATATTAATTTTTTTTTTGGATTAGATATTGCTCAAACTTAATTTGTTTCTGTCATTCTGCTTTTATTAAAGGCAACCTGATATCAGGGTGGACTTCTTCTTTAATAATGTATGAAATTAATGTAAGTGGGGATTAATTTTTAGGTAGTTAAGTAAATGTAGGACTAAAAAATGCATGTCGGGAATACAAAAGGCATTCAGTATGTGATGATGTTGGTGAATAAAAAATTTGTAAATGTACTTATGTGATACTAAGCCTAATGAAATAGTATTTACCAGCTGCTGTAAACTTATAAATATCAACAATTATGCATCTCACGTTCTGGACAAGTCTTTTTTTCATGTATGATGCCACTATATATTAAAAAAACTACCTACAGTGATCCAAGATATTGCTTTTTGCTTGTGCTACTGTATAAGCACTTATTTTTCGTTAATCAATTATTAATTGAGAATCTAATAGCATGTATGGATATCTCCATAACAAAAGCCTGCTGCATATCAGGAACAAAGCTTTAATCGTTAATTTGATATGTACATGTTTCCTTTTCTTTCAGCCTATCTAAAGAAAATGATGGGTGAGATTTACTGTATCAGGAGCTTGATTGTAAAAACAAAGATGGGGTGGTTGCTTTTGGCAGACGTTTCTTGATTTTAAAGCCCAGTGTCTCATCCATCTCTTATGATGCCCAAATCGAACATTTCTTTATTATTTGTTCTTTTCTTGAGGGGGGGGGGGGGGGGGGGGTGCAAAGAGCCTGCTTCTTGAGACATGATGTAATGCCAAAAAATTATTAGATATAGGGAAAAGATTATTATTGGAATATTTTAATGAATCAATTTGCCTTCTTGAAGTTTTGATCCTCGAAAGGAAAACCATGGCAAATATCTGACAATCTAAAATAGTGCAGACAGAAAGATCTGTGAATCAACTGTGAGAGTGACAAAATACTTGAAAATATAATTTATTAAAGTTTATTGTGTTGAATCCTGTTAGTATAGTTGTGTGTGATGTACTAGTAATATCATGTGGTCAACCGTTTTCCACTTGCAACCAGAGATGTGCTTTTGAGTAGAATGTGGTTTTACAGTCCTATACTATGGCCTAGGCTTCTTTTGTACATACAAACAGGGTGTAAATACTCATGCTCTACGTTTGCAAAAGTTTGATGACCTTTTGTATGAAGTCAAGTAATAAACAATCATTAGAATGTATAGACAAATGTTCAGTTATTTATTTTTTGAAAATCTGGGCCCCATTTCATAAAACATGCCATCAATATTACTATAATTGTGATAAGTTACTGAAATCATTGCCTTTGACTGAGCAAGAGAAATTTATCATAGAAATGTGACGCTCGTTATTAGTTTAAAAGTTTTATGAAATGAGGCCCAGGTTCTAATCATACTCATCTACATTGTCTAAAGTGTACCTGCAGAGAGAGAGAGAGAGAGAGAGAAAAGGGGGGGGGGGGAAGAGGAGGGAGACCAAGACAGAAAAAGGAAGAGTGTGTGGGAAAGGGAAAGGGGAATAGCCAAAGAAAGATGAGAATAGATGGGAAAAAGAATGGGATATGGAGAAAAGGGAAAAACAGATTCAAATGTGAATGAGATGGAATACATAGGGATAGACAGAAAGTGTGTACAAGATGGAAAGGTGAGTTGAGAAGAACATGAAGGTATAATTATCTATTAGAGAAAGAATACAAGTGATTTGAAAGAGATGGAATAGAAAGTATGAAACAATTTTGGAGAAAGGAAAAAGAACTAAAACAAAAATATGCCTCTTTGAAACTATGTTTCTCTCCCTCTCTACCATCATTTAACACTCGTTCTCCATCCCTCCCTCATCGTTTTTGTTTCTTTCCTGAATTTCCACCCTCTCTCTATCCCTCCTCTTCTCTCTCTGTCTCTCTCTCTCTCCTCTTCTCTGTCTCTCTCTCTCTCTACCTCCTCTTCTCTCTATCCCTCATCTCTCCCTCCTCTTCTCTCTTTCTCTCCCTTCCATTCTTTTCTTATTTCTATCCCTTTTGATTCAAATTTAAATATTCTAGAGCATATAAAGAGCTTTTTTTTCTCCACTAAAACTGATCGAAAACTAAAACATAAATTATTGTTCAAAGTCACCAAGGGCCTTTATCTAAACACCCGAAACAGATTGAGCCAAGGGCAGTGTTTCACAAAACCATCATAAGTACAAGTTGGCTGACATCCCATGTAAGACATGCTTAAGAATCAAAGAACTTGTACTGATGATGGTTTCATGAAAATGTACCCTGGTGATTGAAAAGTAAATGATTGTCTTCTACACAAGAATTACAATTTACAAGAATTTAATGTCCTTATTCATTTTTACATGTATGTACAAATGTCAAATATGAAATTAATAATACAAAGAACATTCTCTCGTTCAGTGGTTTCTACTTGATGATCTTGAGCATCAATACACCATGACCTGGGGGGGGGGGGGTGTTTCACAAAACTTGTCATCAGTGACAAATGACAGTTTTTGTTATAAGCTACTGAAATCCTTGCTTCTGATTGGATATCAGCAGATTTGTCACTGATTTTTGTCATTTGTCATTGAGAGAAGGCTTTGTGAAACGGGTCCCTTTATTCTAATACAATTTAAACCCAACTCGAGGTGAAGGCTTTTGATCTAAATCAGGTTTCACAAAGATTAGTTTTCCTTTAGTTAAACTAAGTTTTAGTTAAAGGTAAATGGTAAATGTTGGGTTTAACTGAATTACAATAGAGACCCATGGGTTTAAGGGTGGAAACCATTGGGCAAATTCTCTATACAGTTGCATCGCATTAGAAGGGGAGGAGGACTCCTGTGAAATAGCTAGTTGACTTAGAGATAGTCAAGACATTGTAAGATGTTCATGATCAGTTAGTTACTGGTGGTCACTTCATGGAATTCCAAATGGCACCCTCCCCGGGCCTTCAATAGAGATTCTATGTTTGAGCTCCAATAACATATGATTGCATTTGCATATGTGTATATATGCGTATGTCACAACTATATCTGTTAATACAGTATTGTACTGATTGTACTGACTAGAAGGTACAGTTTGAGAGTGGCATCGACAAGGTGTAAGTTGGGAAACCTACATATCCTATCAATAGAAACTACATTCTTTATCAATCTTTTCCCAAATGAGGTTGAAGAAAAAATACAAGAGTACATGGGTGTATCCCCTGTAAATTCAGCTATATGAATGAGCCCCCTTTTAAAAACAGATCTTCTCTGTCTATACAGTTACATATATATGAAGTCATGCCATTGCGGAGAAAGTTCTCAATAGACATTGTAGTCCTTCCAACATCCTTAGCAGAATATTTCCTGCATGAATCTTGAAACTAAAACTTGTTGAAGAGCTCTCGTCATACTGCCCACACAAAGATGCAATCTGGACCTCATCAAGTCTTCCGTCTGGCATCTTGCGGACTTTGAAGGCTCTGTAGAACCGGTCTTGGACCATCATCCAGGTGGGTCCATTTAGTGCAAGGAATCATACTGGGTACTGTGATCAGATGTCCTAGTTCCATTCAAGAGCCCCTGAAACATGAAAGATAAACACAATCAGAAAATTTATCCAAAGGGTGGCAACAAATGGGCATGAATAGAGTTCAGTTAAACACCTTGTGATAAAACATTAATTCTATGCAGTACAATTGAGCAGCGTATGGCACATTTCCAGTCCCAAATGGTTCTTTTGTCTAACATCTACTGAAAGACATTTAAGAAGTATCGATGGCAGCTATTTTTTGAGGCAAGAAATTGCCCCCATTTGCACACATTGCCAGGCCCATCAGCTTTTGAAAATCCTAAATTTTGAAACCCTAAAAGTTATAATTTATTGAGAAAATTAGACCCCGAGTTGTGCCCATGACATCAATGGCATCAAAAACCCATTTATGCTTCTGATAAAATGTGTCAAAGTGATTATGGTATTATTAATGATTATGAGAACCTGTAGAAAAATAAGATCAGGAAAAAAATATCTGGAAGATGACTCTTGTCAATAGAAAAAGAAAAAAATAATTCCATGTTGAAATAAATTTGTAGACTACTGATTTATATAATTCCTATAGGCTTAGTACTTTAACAACCTGATTCCCATAAGCATAAGCAAAAAGTTAATTTTCATGTTTAGCCGTATGACACTCATGATTTCTACAAGTTTCTGATTTTCCTTTAATATCATCACCTTACCCAACAAAAGAAGATTTTCACATGTACTTATTTTGATCAAAATCGTGGTACACACACTATTACTTTAAGCACATTGTTTAGGTAGTTAGAAACAACTGTTTGTTTACTTCCTTTATTAAACCCTTTAATACTACATTACATTATATTTCAGGATATGCACAAAGAGATCAAAAAGAGATGGGTGTTACAAGAATTACATCTCACCTTCTAGAAATGCATATGCATCATTTGTGTCAATGGAGAGATCTGGAAAAAAGGAAAAGTACAACAATACATAATTATTACAAAGTTATAAAATGTGTTCATCATCAAATAGAGATTCATGTACACTGTACAGTAAAAAAATCTTAGATTCAGAAATGATCTAAATACTCATTTAACTCTTTGGATGCTTTCTTCGCCTCTCTGCACTGTTGCTCATTTGCCACACAAGTAATTTTGCACAAAACTTTAGGCATTATTAAATTAGGATTAATTCATATATTATCTATACTGATTTAGATGATTGCCAACAAATTAGAAAAACTGACCTCTATATTTCATTAACTTTTCTGCGGAATAATAACTTTTACTTACCTATGTCTTGTTTTCTTATAGTCTTCTTTTTTCCCCTTTCAGTAAAAGTGTACGCTGACTTGGTAAAACTCTCAAGAAAATACTCCTGAAAAAGATAAGAATACAAATGCTGGTGCAAAAGGTTCACTTATATGTAAATAACTTGAACTACCAATAAAAAAGAATTAAATCAAGAAAAACAGGTTCAGTCAAAGGTCTTTTATTCAAATCTGGGCAAATTGTGTTATGTGTATTAATCATTACAATGTTTAATGCTAGAAGTTAGTTAATAGTTATAATATTGTTCCAATAACATTATTTTTTTGTATCAGCGTACATCAGTATTCCAATCGCCTCTATACAGAGACTGAAGTACATCGTATGGGTAATAGTGAGGGTGAGGTTATGCAATATAGTTTGTGTGTGATTGCAGATCTCATCGTGCAATTTTTTTTTAAAGAAAGCAACCAGATTAGCTGAAAGTAAGTCCCAATATTTTGATGTTTTACAATGATTACAATGTTATTTTGATAGTAGTAGTTAAAAATCAGACTTATTTTCTTTCCAATCATATTTTTTCTTTACAAACTGTTTAAGTTTAGATAAAGGAAAACTAAGGGCAAATTTCTTCTTCTTCTTCTTCCTGGAAAGTGTAGGCTTCATGAAATGAAGATCAAACCACTATGGGTAGATGCGTGCACAGTCAATGGTATGTACGCAGACAGGAATTTATAGTGCAGATAAATGTATGTAAAGGGATGTGCAGTTAAAAAGTAGCTTGTCTGCACGCTAGATGGTGCCGTCCCTCAATGCTGCTTTAAAGGGATCCAGTGAAACAAAACTCTTTTGGGTATTTTTTCGGCAATGCAAATATGAATATTCATATCATATTCATAGAACGCTGTTCGCTCGAAATGACTGAATATTGTTGGATCGACGATACAACATTGATGAATCGTCGGGTTAGGATGAAGAATCACGCTTTTTTCCATCAAAGACTTCTTTAAATTAAATATGATTATGGTTTCAAATCAAGTGGTCGGAAAGATGCCCAGAGGAGTCAAAAAAACATTGTACTGTAAGTCCAAATTGTAATTAATACCTCTTTACATTGCGAAAAAGAGAGGAGCCGACTGTAGTAATGTGATATTTGCTATGTATATCCATCTTTTTTTGATTTGGGCGCTGCTCTGTGGCGACCGTCACTGGTTATTTTGTTTGTCTTATATTTGTGTAAATTTGTCAATTTTGTGGATCATCTTCTTGTAATTTGTGGCTGTCTGAAAGCACAATGGCGTTTGCACATTCAAGGATAATCATAGTTGTTTTCATTGCGGTTCTGGTGATATCTGTGGAAATACGACCAGGACAAGCAATCGAGACCCGACCACACCCTACCAGTCTTGTGTACTCACGGGATGAGCTGCTAAAGTTACGGGACACTTCAGCGGAAACTCGACCGACCGGCTTTGACGACTTCCCGAAGGAATGTAAACCACGGAAGAGAGGTAGGAAAGGGGGTGTCAGGTCACGTATCAGAAGAAGGGGCAACAAACCACCACTTCCTACAATCATCCTTGGTAATGTTCGCTCCTTACCGAATAAAATGACTGAACTCGAAACCTTATCTAAATACATGCACGAATACAGAGAGGCTTGTTTGATGTGTTTTACCGAAACCTGGCTTAATGAAAATGTACCAGACAGTGCTGTTGAATTGCCTAACTTTTCGTTAATAAGAAGTGATAGAACGACTGCATCGGGAAAATCACGAGGTGGGGGACTGTGTATGTATGTCAATAAGAGATGGTGCACAAACTGGTCAATTAAACATTCAGTGTGTCAGCCAGATATTGAATTACTAGCTGTCGGTCTTCGGCCATTTTACCTTCCCAGAGAATTTCCGCAAATTTTTGTAATCACTACATACATACATCCAAGAGCAGACGTGGCCGTTGCTAGTGACGCTATTGCTGAGAAAGTAAACAATCTTCAGGCATTGTCACCAGACGCGCCAATCTTTATCGCAGGTGACTTCAATCAATGTCGACTAGATAACGTTATGCCTAATTTCGAACAATATATTAACATTCCTTCCAGAAACGACGCTTTTCTTGATCTTTGTTATGGAAACATCCCTCATGCATACACAAGTAAAGCATGTCATCAACTCGGGAATTCCGATCATCTGAATTTTCATCTTGTACCTACCTACAGACAGAAACTAAAGAAAGCGTCCCCAGTTTCTAGGCAACGATACGACTGGTCGGATGACGCATCAGAATGACTGCGAGCTTGTTTAGATTGCACTGACTGGGATGTCCTATTCAATTCCACGGACACGCTTGATGAGGCAACGGAGGTGATCAGCGCATACATCAACTTTTGTGTGGACTTGAACATTCCGCGTAAAACGTCGAAGGTTTTTCAGAATAATAAACCATGGGTTTCAAAAGAACTGAGGGACTTGTTGAAAGCAAAAAACCGGGCACTTGTTGCCGGTGATAATTCAGAAGTAAGAAATCTACAGAAACAAATTAAACGACAGGTTATAGCATCAAAACAGTTGTATAAAGAGAAGATTGAAAGAGGCTTTCAGGAAAACAATCCTAAAGCTGCATGGAAGACCTTACAAGATGTTACAGGTTATAAAAGGAAGTCATCTGTTAATGAGTCTGTAGTGAATCAAACATTTGTTGATAGCCTAAATGATTTTTATTGTCGATTTGACCATAGTGATTTTGCAACGAAGAATGTTGAAACCATGCAAAACCTTAGAGAGAGCCTCACCCGGGATTTTGAAGTAATTACGGTATCTGAACACGAAGTTAGAATGGTGCTAGGTGATGTTAATGTGAATAAAACCCCGGGCCCTGATCGTATTTGCAATAAGCTATTAAAAACGTGCAAGGATCAATTGGCCAGTGTTTTTCAAAAGCTTTTCCAGCTTTCTATCGATCGAGGAACAATTCCTAAATTGTGGAAAATGTCAACTGTTGTACCACTTCCTAAAGTGAAAAACCCATCAGAAATGAATGACTATCGTCCTATAGCTCTAACATGTAGTATTATGAAATGTCTTGAGAAAATTGTACTGAAACGTTTGCTGAATCAAGTCTCCCCCTTCTTAGATCCCATGCAATTTGCTTACAGGAAAAATAGGGGCGTAGAAGATGCAGTTTTGATACTCTTGCACAAACTGTATTCCCACTTAGACACAATGAAAACGTACACGAGATCAGTTTTCATAGATTTCTCTAGCGCATTTAATACCTTGATACCACACCTGCTTACTAGGAAGTTGAGTAATTTAAATGTACACCCACAACTTATAATGACAATACAAGACTTTCTGTTGTGTAGATGTCAGCAGGTGAAAATAGGAAAGCTAATCTCATGTGTTCGTTCTATCAGTACTGGTGTACCTCAGGGATGCGTACTATCCCCGGTGCTCTTTTCCATTTACACCAATGATTTCGTGAGCACTGACGACAATTGTTCTATGATTAAATATGCCGATGATACGGTGATTACAGGGTATATTTCAGATGATAATACTGAACGTTATCTTTCATTGATCCAACAGTTTGTTGAATGGTGTGACAGGCACCACTTACAACTAAATGTAGCAAAAACGAAGGAGATCGTAATAGATTTTCGTAAGAGAACTGTAGTGGATCATGCACCCCTTTGTATTCACGATTCCGTAGTCGAGCAGGTTAGCGAGTACAAATATCTTGGCACTACTATATCATGTAAATTGGATTGGTCAAAAAATGTCAACATTATCCAGAAGAAAGCAAATCAAAGGCTTTATTTCCTTAGACAACTTAAGAAACTCCACATAGATAATACACTTCTTGTTCTGTTCTATAAATCAATCATTCAGTCTATCTTGACATTCAATCTCATTTGTTACTTTCGTAATGGAACACGTGCTAGCAAAAGGAAAACAGAAAGAATAAGGAAAATTGCTCAGCGCATCACCGGTTTGGAATTGCCCAGTTTAGAAAGTATATGTTGATCGTACATTGCTGAAGATTACTCGTATTATGAAAGACCCGTCACATCCTTTGTTCCATAATTATAATTTCAACCGTTCAGGAATTCGCCTCTGCGTTCCCCGCACTAGGCGGGAACGCTTTATACGCTCATTTGTACCAGATTCAACTCACATGTTCAACAGTATGGTAAAACGAGGGCAATCAATGTAGACACTGTACCCTTTATTTTATTGATTTCCTCCATTCCTATACAAGTAGTCAGATCTTATTTTTAGATGAAACGCCATTGATGTTATGTTGTTATTATGTTTTATAATCTGTTTAATTTTGTACATTTCCTTGTAACACACAATTGTACCAGTGAACAATGAATTTCCATATTATGGACAATAAATCAATTCAATTCAATCAGAAACTTGTCTGTACGAAACAGTGAAATACTGCCCTCTCCGGCAGAATAAAGTAAGCTTAGCAACGAGCATAATGGCGTAGACTTCTAGCTGTATTACCTTCGTATTTATGGACATATAAGATACGACATTTGGCGACGAGGATGGGATTTTACACAAATACAAGTGCTAACAACTCTCAGAAGAAAAAAGCCAAATCACTCATATATATTTTGGTTGTTGGATTTGATTTTAATATCCAAACCGATTCAGTTACATACTATTATGTGGTGATACTGTATGTATTCAACAGGCTTAATGCACCTTTTCCAACATTATAGGAAACTCTATCTCAAAGAAGGGAGAGGTGTAGTAATGTGATATTTACTATGTATATCCATCAGAAACTTGTCTGTACGAAACAGTGAAATACTGCCCTCTCCCGCAGAATAAAGTAAGCTTAGCAACAAGCATAATGGTGTAGACTTCTAGCTGTAAGATGGAATTCAATAAACTGAACTGAACTGAACTGAACTGTATTACCTTCGTATTTATGGACATATAAGATATGACACCGACCCTACCCAAATCAGAGGCTAACGAACGAAAGAGACATAAATTTTCGGTCAAGATCTATGTGAGTCAAAAAAAATTTACACCTAGAAAATTGCAAGTTATTTTAAAAATCATATATGAATATTAAATTACTTTACATCTTATGGAAATATGGAAGAGTGTTTCATCCCAAATCATTTGGTATCATTTTTGGTGGTTCCATATGTGTTCACGCTTGGTTGAACAGAAAGCATTGTTTGCGAGAGTGCGAAAATCGACTTGCGCCAAAGTGATGCCTACAGTATGTATTATGTTGGGATTAGCGGAGTGAGAGAATGAATTGAATGAATCAAATGAAATGCATTGCTTACATGTATGCTTTTTGCAGAAGCAAAGTCACACACACACACACACACACACGCAAAAAATGTTTGTTTGATATTTGATATGTGTGGCATGATTTATTTTGTTAGGGATGTTTTTTTAATCTGCAAAGACCGAATTAATACCCAAATCCCAATTGCTTTATTCAAACATCACATAAACAACTTTGGCGCATGCATGTCGATTTTTGCATTCTCGCAAACAATGCCCTCCTGTTCATCCAAGGCAAGCGTGAACACATACCACACACAATGATACTAAAGTAAATGATTCGGGATGAAACACTCTTTCATAAGTAATTGGTGCTAGTGTAGTTCTGTATCCATTTTTTAAGCAGTTTTTTTAGCAGTTTAATATCGATTCTTAGCAAAGGAATTTTATGCCAATTCTTTACTAATTTTAATCATAATCATATATTGCATTTTCCACCTGAATTTGGATCACATCAGAGATCGGGAAGCCTCCAATTAGGGCTTCGATGTCGATGTCGTCGCTCACTACCGTATCCAGGCTATAGCTCTGTACCTCAAACTGAAGCTATCAGTCTAAAATTATGCAAACTTTGCGTATGCTTTATGGTATTACGCACATGCACGATACCATAAACTATACGAGAAGCTTGCATAATTTTAGACTGATAGCTTCAGTTTGAGTTGCAAAGCTATAGCGCGGAGACGGTACTGAGCGACGACGTCGACATCGAAGCCCTTGGCCTAAACGGAGGCTTCCCGATCTCTGACGTGATCCAAATTCAGGTGGAAAATGCAATATAGATCTAGAGTAAAGGAGCCCGTAATCGGCCAGCTCCCGTTTTCGGCCGATTGGTTGGATGCAAGGTAAAATCACTCTAAAATACATCGCAAAATAGCATAACACATATCCCACTCATACCATACCATGCCAGTGTCACTGAAGAACCACATTTGCAATGAAAAATATATCCTAAAATATCACATTTTAGCGATGTAATCGGCGGTCCTGCTACACAAATCTGAAAAATCGAGTATCTTACGCGTGTATGTAAGAAATATGGGTACCATAAAATCCGCTTTATTTCAAGTATTTTTCAGATTTAGAGCCCGATTTTGTGTTAGTCGCAAGCTCAAAAGTATCTCATCGCATGTATTAAATCAATGCAGCCGGACCCTGCCACGCACACACGATATGTCTGTCTAATTCAGATTCAAACTTCCGATCACCGCTGTGCCTGTCTTCGGCCAAGCGAGCACCAGGGAGCTCCGGCGTGGGATATCTGCTCCGCCCGCTTGTGCTGTACATCAGCGCGGAAACGCTCGGCCGATAACCGGCTCCAAAACAGTGAAAATTGAAATGAATATTGTCATGGCAATTCGTGATTTTTTTTCTGGGATTCTTTTTTTGTTTAAATAATAATAATATTTGCTTCATGATTTGAACAAAAAATGATAATAAATAGGAAGTAAAGGGTCCTAAAAAAAGGATTTTGTCTTAAGTGGCCGAAAACGGGCTCCTTTACTCTAGATCTAGATCTAGATTCTATGATTAAAAATAGGTTCTAGTAAAAAATTGAGCTAAAATTCCTTTGCTAAGATTTTAAGAATGGATATAAAAATTGCTTTAAAAAAATGGATACGGAACTACACTAGCGCCTAATAATTTACTTTTCATAAATGACTTTTAAAATAATAAGCAATTTTCTAGGTGTAAACTTTTTTTGGACTCACACTGCACTGTAGACTCTAATCTCTATTAGTAGTAGCCTATGCACAGACATGACAAGAACAACACAACACACTTCACAACGACTGGGACTGCACTCAATTCCACTGACTTACTGTAGCTTTTGCTAATAAAAACACCGACTCTTGACTTGCTAATGTCACATCAGGATCTGTTTTCATTATGTTCTTTATCCTCGTCAATGGAAATTTGTTGTTTCTTGCGACTGCTTGTGATTTGTCATCCTCCTTCGGCTCCGAGTTTTCGTACTCAATTTGATCCTCCCGCGAAACAGTGGAGCTTTCATCGGCCATGATTATTTATTTTAGTTAAACCATACCGTAGAGGTCTCGTAATTTTTATTTTTAATACGTGACCCAAAGTTTTTTCCCCTTCTCGTATAAGTGCCCATTTCAGGCGCGTACGCAGGGGGGGGGGGGGGGGGGGGGGGGGGGGGGGGGGGTTAAATGAGTGTATTTTGGAGGAACCCCCCCCTTTTTTTGTATTCTAATGGGTGACCAGGTGACCTTACCCCCCCCCCCCCCTCAACGGAACGAAATGTCGACCCGGCAAATGTTCAAATTTTGGGACCCAAACAAAAAATAGATATCCCCCCCCCCCCCCCCCCCCCGCTTATTCAGCGGCTGGCTGAGTCGTTGCAGAAATTTTGGCCCGGGTTAAAAATGTTAATCCCCCCCTTGAAAAAATCCTGCGTACGCTACCTCGGAAGTGGGGGGGGGGGGATAAACGCATTTTTGCCCCCCCCCCCCCTCCCCCAAACAAAAAGAAAGAAAAGGGGAGTACGTAAACTCTGCCCCCTGGGAACCCCCGTGCAACGTATAGCCCTGGATGCTCGTCTGACCGTAATTAAATGCATTTAATCCCTGAGCTTCATGGGGCTCAGCCCCCTGGACCCCACCAAGGGCGCTACGGAGGGCCCCTGGATGCTCATCTGATCGTAATCGTTCGTCATCGTGTCTCATTAGATCAACATTAATGTACAGTTCCTTAATAAAGTTAAATTAAATTAAGTTCGTTAATCGCCCGGTGGCTGCGATGGCCGTCTTAAGGGCGTTTCACAAAGATCCTAAGTTGAACTTATCTCTAAGTTGGACTTAAAATTTATGGGAAGCCATTAGCATCCTTGAAAATATTTTGTATTTTTTTTTTAGAAGTCATAAAATGTTGATTCAAATCATTCATATTTTCTATTATCATGGGAGATTTCATGTTCTTGATGTGGAATTGATGAAAAGTCTAAAATACTCCAATTTTTGCTTTTGAATATATTCATTTTAAGGCTCCAATGGCTGTCCATACTTTTTAAGTCCAACTTAGTGTTAAGTTCTACTTATGATCTTTGTGAAACACTCCCCAGGTCTTCATCAGTTCTGTGCAACTCGTTCCGTAATTAAATGCCTGAAACCGCTGAGCTTCATGGGGCTCATCCCTCTGGACCCCCGGTCAATAGTGACCTGATAGTTTTTTGTTAAATGTATGTTTTCCCGGAACCCCCCCTAATCTTAATGGATGACCTAAAAAAGATGAACTTAACCCCCCCCCCCCCCCCCAACGAAACGGAATGTCGATCATTCAAACTTTCAAATTTCGGGAAAAAAAAAAAAAAAAATGTCCTCTTACCCCTATTTCCATAATTTTATCAAACGAATTCTTTTTCACTAGCTGCCTGCCGTAGCAACAAACGAAATTAACAAAAGACTTAACTCCGTTTCGTTGACAATCAGCCATGCACGAAGTCTTTCGTCTACGGCTGATTGTCCACGAAACGGAGTTAAGTCTTTTGTTAATTCCGTTTGTTGCTACGGCAGGCAGCCAGTGAAAACGAATTAATTTAATAAAATATGGAAATGCAAGCACTACTTTAAACAAACAGAACTTTGTTATTCCTAGCTCATTTTTCCTGACTGAGGTGTCATATGAAAGGGCAGAAACTCAACTTTCTGGAAATGTGATTTATTCTTTGAAATTCAGTACCGTCCGCCAAATGACCTTTTGGTTTCCTGTCTTCAAATTCATCTTAATCACTCATGTGTGAAATATGCATCATATGAGTTCCATCAAATGAAAGAGGAGGATTTAAGCTTTACGAATATGTGTCATAAATTTTATCAATTATAATTGTGATTAAGTTATAATAAAACATCGATAATTCTCGGTTTCGTTTTTTCTGGGACGCATTGTATAGCCGAGCAGCTCTGATAATGTGCTGTGGCATTCGAGGAATTTCACCCTACCGTAACCGGTACCGGGTAACCATTTACTACCCCTGGGTGAACCATTTACTACCCCTGGGTGGGGAGTGGCAAATGCAGGGTAGCACATTTCTTGCCAAAGGACTTTAGCGCCGCGGCGGGACTTCTCCGGCAAAGTATGAACATTAACAAAAAAAGGAGTCGATCCTTTGGGAGTTCTGAAAGAAGTACTTTAGCCTTGTTACCTGATCTTTAAAACTTCGAACTTTCAACTATTTTATTTGTATTCATTGCATTTATTTCTCACAACTCCAATTCCTTTTCGTACATAACAGAGAAGCAAAGAATTTTCCGTAGTCCTAGTTTATACAAACTGAAACATAATTACAACAATTTTTTTTGTGGTATCATTTGATAAACCAACATAAATACAACATAATTCATTGTTTATAATTTCACAATGTATAGGACTAAACTATATTACAATTACATAGTAATAAAAATATATTACCGCACTACACATTTATTTCAACCAAAAAACTAAAACAAGCATTGCTTTTATTTCAGAATAAAACTGAATAGGCTACCTAAAAAGAAAATAGAGTTTCATATTTCTCAACATAATTGTTATTATACAGAATTGAAATTAGGAGCTTTTCTTTTATTAAAACACACAATCTACCCCAAAACTATCCCCCACTTCTCAATTGTGATGAATGACAACTTTAAAAAAAAAAAAAAATGGACAAGGCTTATAAAGCATTCGACTATTCATGTAACAACGGTAATAATGACGATGATGATGACGACGACGCTAATAATAATTATAATGATAATAATAATAATAATGATGATGATAATAATAATAAAAATATAAATCATAATAATGATAATAGAAATTATGATAATAGCAATAAACATGATAAAAATTTCAATGGTTATGAAGCAATAATTACACAACATTCTCCTGAATTTGGTACCATCATAATTGAAAAAATTTACATTTTATTTCAGGAGGCAAGGATTTTTGTTTTCAGTTTGTCTCTATAATGCAACTGCATAAAGCCTCGGTCACAAATGCCATTACGAACTGCTACGAACGCCGTACGAACGATTTTCAGACAATGGAAAATCAGGAAGACAATGGAAAAACAGGGAGATTCGTACGAAATTATCGTTCGTACGAACCTTTGTGATCGTAGCTTAACATTCACTATAGCATTTAGACATCAACATCCGTTTTCATGGTTACATCAATATCCATAATGCGTGTTTTCTGCGTATCTGCCCTACACATCCCGTACCACCAGTCGTAGAAGACAGGATGGCGAGCCTGCCACTGGTACATCTCTGGAGACAATGATTTTATGAGCAATGTCCTGATAATAAAGCACAAGGTCTTTCCGTTACTCGCAGTCATGGTGGTCAAGATTGGTGACCCCTTCATCACGTGACCTAACCTTCTCCACGAGAAGTACTCCAGATACTTTTGCTGGTCGCGATCCAGGAGATGGATGTAGTCGATGAACTCTTGAACGGTCTTGAAGTCATCGAGGTGTATGAACGAATGAGGCGGGGCCAGGCGCTCGTAATCGGCTTTCGGTGCTCCAAACACGATCGGAACGGTGCCGACGGCGAAAGAGTTTAGCCAGAGCTTTTCAGTGATGTACTCCGGGCATTGGCTGTTTTCTAGAGCTAAGTAGAATTTGTATTGTCCACGCATTTCCCAGCATTCTTTCTCCGAGCGGGGGCAGTCCAGATGCCCGCATAGACCATAGGTGTCAATCGGCAAGTACTTCTGGAGTTCTTGAACAAAATCTCTCCTGGCCCAGCTAGTTGCGTTGCAGTTGGTCGCAACCCATGACATCAACTTCTCCTTTCGAAGAACTTTCGGGTCTGTGTCTCTCTGCTCACTGTCCAGGTAGTAGTATCCAGGAGCGATGTCCGACTCACTCATATAAGAGATCGAGATATTGAACGGATTTCCGAACTCTCTTGGAGGGCTCGCAGGGGGGCCATGGATAGGAGCTTCCTTCGAATGAAACACCCAGAGCTGCCCAGGCAACCGGGTTTTAACTAGTGGCGCCCAGGTTCGTTTATCGATATGGAAGATCACCACGTCACTCTGTTGAAAGTCCGTCAGGTCGTTCCCAACCTTCATCTCAATCCGACAGTTGGAGAATTTACATTTCGATCTCGTCCAAAAGTCTTTGGCCTTGTCCTTGATATGCTTCAGGCACAACAACCTATGGCACATCTGCAAGATCTTGATAACGCAACCAGTGGTAGAGTTACGAAGAGCCGAATCCTGGAGCTTGTACAACAACCTATTGGCCTCGAACGTAGTTCTAGCTCTCTTATTACTCAATATCTTCCTCATCCATAATGTATCTGCGTCACTATTAGAATTGATATCCCGATTAACTGCAGCTGTCTTTAGGATATCCAGGCTTAGTTTAAGATCTTCCAATTCTGGTATATGTTCGTAGTATATCTCCTCATTCGATTGGGGCCGGACTGATTCATTTCTGTATGGAAGTCTGCCCACTGATGCGACATATTTGTTTTCAGAATAGGTGATAGAGATCAGATGGTTCCTCAACTCAACGTAAGCCTTGAAGGCCACTATCACTAACAGGGCGCCACCAGCGATGGTCATACGAGTCCGCTTTGTGTACATATTGCCTACAGGAAAGCAAACAGAATGTGGAGGTCATTGTTATATTAATGTTCATAAAACACGGGACCCGAACGGTGCCCCAAGGGCCCTTTTCGGGCTTTCTACGGCTTAACGGTCAGATGAAAACGCCGGGAGAATATTGATTCAACTTTTATAGGCATATCAAGGATTGTAAGAAGAAGGAGGATTATTCATGAAGATGAGAAACGAATTACAAACAAAATAATGAGTACCGCTATTATTGTTTGTCTCTATATTTCCTACAACTCTGTTTCAACGACACAACCTGATTCCTCGTTGCGTTTCCTAATAATCATAGTTTTTTTTGTACTGGACACTTCTGGGAAAATAGGTTTATTTCATTGTATATAATACAGACCACCTTATATTTTTGTTAAAATTGCCTTTATTTATTTTCCAAATTCGACCCAATTTTTTGTGTGCAAGATAATTTGAAAATGGCACACTTTTTTCACCTTTATAAGTAAGGTGGTTTATAATAAATGCCGAGTTATCTAAAAAATTATATTGGTTATATTCCATTCTTGTAATAGCACATATGACATTATGATATAACATCCAAATGCGCTTCCAATTAAAGACCTTATTATTAATTTAATTTATTTTATTCATGGTATAATACAAAATATGATTAGGGATTTGCAAGCCCAAGAAAATTTATCTAACAATGTATCTGTATAAAATAGTGCCTGATCTAGTCAAATGGTGCAGAGTTCAACCAAGGTTGTTTGGGGGAAATCGATTGTACCCCATGTTTTGCCCGTTGTTGTAGTCCTATATAATACATGTATATAATTATAGTCTCTGAATATATATATATATATATGTTTATATACATATACATAGCAAGTTCGCAAAGGCAACTTTAAAGGTATTACAAAGTTTTGGGAAAGTTTGAAAAATGGGTGGATAGTGATTCTTTACAATTTTTTATATATTTGGATGCCCCTGTGGATGTATTAAGAGCACTAGAAATGTTAGCCCCTAAAACACTTCTGCTTTCGAGAAAAATTGAATATCAAGATTTACCGGTGCTCCTGGTAAATTTTGATCAATTTCAAATAGCTCCTACGTGGCCGTACAATGGTAGCTGCGACCATGAAAATCTCAAAATATGTAGTTGTGATAAATAATTTCCGAACGGGAATAGCTAATCGGTCGATTTTAGTCAAGAAACACAGTTTCAAAGCTTAATTAATAACTTGACCTTGAGAGGGAGCTATTCAACATAAAGTGTTTATCATTTACAATTTCATAACTTTCAGAGTGGATTTCGACCGCGACAACGATCACTGAATATCGTAGGATCGCATATGCTTCCAATATAGAGCCACATTCATGACCCCATACCAAAACTTTGTATTACCTTTTAAGCATTGTGGCCGCTCACTCAACCAAGCTGGTTGTTGAAAAATCAATTGAATACAAAAGGCCGTTCCATAGCACAGGTCACCAAAGCTTGCATAATAACTTAGACTGAACAATAATTCATACCCCTTGTGATTTTGATGTTTTGGGGGTGTTTTTTCGCCGGTATCTCAAGAATGAAAGTTGGGTTGGTTGAATAAGGGCCATTGTTGATTGCTTTAAGATGCAAGATTTAAAATGTCACATTCTCAAGGAAAGTAAATCAGGACATAAAATAATTTGTTTTTACAAAACTTGGTAAGGGTATGAATAACGCAGGTGTTAACTGTATTTATCTACAATGCACTCAACTGGATGCTAAGTTGTGTCAGACCCAACACCCCTCCCACCCCAAAAAACATGATAAGATGTTTATGAGAGTGCCCCCTCCCTCATTTGATTTTGAAATTACGTCATAATCGTCAGTTTGAGGAAGAAAGGACATATACACATGGAAAATGTCGTTGGAATGCCACCGTGCTTCGTCAATTACTAATGTTTATCGGTTGTAATTATAGTTCCCAATTATTATAGGCTTTTTAGAGTCAAACACATAACAAATGACATGCAAATTGTGATACATGTATCAACATTCTGCTTTTTTATGAGAGATATTAGACGGCACCAATTTTCTCATAGATTTTAATACATAATGGAGACGGTACAGTTAAATGCTACAATTTACCACGTTGGTTTAACTGAGACAATGGTTTGGCTGATTTAATTTGGTTTTATTTACCATCATAATATATGAAATAAAGACATCATAACACATAAGGAAACAAAAACACTAATATGTATTTCACAAGGACTAGGCTATTCTAGAAGAAAAAACAAATTAAAATGAAGTTCGAGGGATGACCCGCTTCAGACCAACCGACAAAGTTGATCTGTTCTAATTCCCCGGGGTCCCAAAACAATAGTCAAATATACTTTTTCATTACAAAATAAAGTTAACGATGAATAATGAAACAGAATATCCGAAAGTTACTCACCCTCATGCCCTGTAAAATGACAGAACGAAAAAAAAAACCCGTCCAGGTCAGATCGAAAGAGCTTTGACAAGAACGGTCTGTGCAATGAGATAACTCATCTGTCTGTGCATAAGTCATGTCCGTGCGTCTAATCCATTATTGATTATATCGAGGTGATCGCGTCTCGCGTATATGCTTGCCCGGAGTGGGCATTATCCGGGAAGTCTGCTTGAGCAAAGAGCAATCGCGTTGCTCGTATCGATTTTTCTTTTATTGCTTAACTCAGAACCTTCACATGTTACATGTAACCGGAGCCCTAACCCAAATCCCAAATTACATGTGTACCACTAACATTATATTAGGTTACTGTTCAAAATTGATTGAAAATTAAGGTCAGAGGCGGCACTTCCGGGGGAGGGGCATAGTGCCTCCAATTTTTGAGTTTTCTTAAAGTGTCCCAAAAGTCTCCCTTTGTACATAGGAAAAATGCCCCTTTTACTTCAAATAGTGCCCCTTTGTCTTTCTAATAGGTGCCCCTTACCACCTCTGATAAGTGCCCCCTTTAACTCTGATAATTACCCCTGTTCAAATCTAAGAAATGACCCTTTCACTTCGACAAGTGTCACTTTCCTTTTGTAAGAAGTGCCCCTTAATTCCCCTTCTTATACGTGCCCTTTTTACCTCTTATAAGCGCCTCGTTTGTTTTCACTCGTGCCTCTTTTCCTTTTTAATAAATGTCCGTTTTCTATTCTCATAAGAGCCTCTTTCATCTCTGGTAAGTGCCCTATTTTATTTTGGATAAGTGCCCCTTTCACCTCTGATAATTGCCCCTATTCAAATCTGAGAGGTGCACCCTTTTCCTTTAACAAGTGTCCATGCTCCTTTATCATAAGTGCCTTTCCCCTTTTCCTTTTAAACGTACTCCTTTTCTTCCTCTTATAAGTCCCCTTTTTCATTCTGATAATTGCCCTTTCCCTTTTTAAAAAGAGACCCTTCCCTTTCTCAAAATTTGATAAGTGCCCCTTTCCCTTCGACAAACACCCCTTTTTCCATATTCATAAGTGCCTTTTATCACCTAAAGGGGCACTCACCAGTCACCAGACTCGGAGTCTGATGAGTGCCCCTTTTCAGGTGCGAGAAGTGCTCCATTTTCACCTCTGATAACTGCTTTTTAAAAAACTGTTTACACGTGCTCCTTTTCACTTCTACTAAGCAGGCACGTAGCCAAAGTTTGATTTTTTGTTGATTTTTTTATTTCATTTTTTTTTTGATTTTTTTTAGGGGGGCACATACATGTAATCGTTCGACGTCCTGGGGAGGAGTCTAAAAAAGTTATACTGATCTTGGAAATTTGTTGGGGGCATATGCCGCCCCCCCTCCCCCCCCGTGGCTACGTGCCTGCTAATAAGTGCCCCATTTTCATTCCTTTATAACCGTATCCGGACACCTATCCCCTGTAAAACCAGCCCTGGGTAACCACTACAATAATTTTTAAGCAGATTCTAATCAACATTCTTTTGATTGTTATTTATCTTATCATAAACAAACACCACCATTGACACAATACAGCATGTATTATCCACAGTTAAACTCATATCACCATTTTAAGTGTTAACAATGTCCTTTGATCTACGTCTGCCTGGATACAAATAAAGTCCATGTAGGTTTTGCATGCACGTGCCGCCTCCGCCCCCATCCAAAAATATAACAAAATAAAATAACCATAATACAACCATGATAGAAAGGATGGTTCAGGGTATAGAAAAAGAAAGAACTTAATTGATGAAATATAACAATCAGAGTGTTACAATCAAACTGCTTATACTGATTCCAGCTCCTATTTATGTTTGTCTCTCTTTTTCTGTCTGTCTGTCTCTTCCTCTCTGTCTTCCCTTCTCTGTACGTCACACACACACACAACAAACACGCACATAAACATCCTCTGTCATTCTCATTCTCGTGACGGACCCCCCCCCCCCTTAGTCTGTCTTTCCGAGTCTCAATCTTACTGATGATTCTGTTGTTTTTTCTCAAATTTTTTGTCAGTTCATCCTTTCAAAATGTTTCGTTCCCTATCAATAGGCCATTTTCGTAAAGTAATCAAATTCAATGCATAAGTCTTTGTGAAGTGCCTCAATACAAATTATTTCATTCACCTGATAAGAATAATAGTATTTCAATAGACAGAATCCGAACTGCATACATTAGTGTTTCCAGGTAGGACAAACATTGTGGCTTGACCTACCTAGCAACACTTAATATATGCAGTCTGCATTCTGACTATTGAAATACTATTATTCTCATCAGGTGAAAGAAATAATTTGCATTTGCATTGAGGCACTTCACAAACACTTATGCATTACATTTTGATACATTACGAAAATGGCCTATTAAGGAACCTACCTTACCCTTCTTTCTCTCTCTCTCTCTCTCTCTCTCTCTCTCCTCTCTCTCTCTTCATCACTGCCTAATTCCTCCTCCCCTTATTATCTCTTTATGAACAGAAAACAAAACAATTGCTTCCCAGTGGTATCTAGTTACGACTTGTGATTCCAGATCTTAACACGGATTACTGATCCGACACAAAGAACGTTATTTTGATCCCATACAAAAGAACAGAAATTTTTATTAAGGAAGAGAATTGTAAATTCTCTTGTTGTAGTATACTTATTGGAGGATGGTCATTGTTTGCGTGCTGGTATATGTGTACTCTCATCCTGCGATTGTTATTATTCACCATAATCGCAGTTTATGGCGGGTTCAGTGCTTTTTAACGTGTATTCAGAAAAAGGTTTAAAGGGAGATTCCACCCTACTAGACAACTACTCTAAAAGGAAGCATAAAAAGAGAAGCAAACTGATGAAAGTTTCAATTAAATCTGACTCAAAAATAAGAAAGTTATGATTTGTTGAAATTTGTAATTATTATACGTACGGGCACTTCAAATTGGCTGAAGCGGTACTGTCAATGTGATGTAGTGCCAGACTACTTTCCCATCTGTTCCAACATATAAAATAACTACAATTTCTCTAAATTCACGGTTCAGGAGGGTCTATTCTTTTTATAGGACCTATACTAATATGCTATGTATACTACTATATTTTGAGTAGTGCCCCGAGTGGGAAGAAACTTGCGAGAAAAGCATAAATGAATGATACTTTTGTACATGGCAAATGGGAGAGTTATCCACGTCCTACGTCACAATCCACTGACCAAACTACCAATTTTGGATTCGTATAGACTTAATGTTCTCTTATTTCAAACATTCATAACTTCCTTACTATTGGTTAATTCATTTCAAACTTTTGCCATTCTGTCCAACAAGGGTTGGATTGCCCTCATACGATCTTTGGATTTGAATGAATAGATTCAAATAAATATTTTTAAAAACTTTAAAAGACAGCCTCAGTCGAAATTATAATTTATTCTGAAGTTAGCTCAGTTTAACTTTACGAGACATTTATAAACAAACAGACAGTCTGTTTAGGGCCAAAAGGTTTTACACCGAGTAAATCTTTTCTGGCTTCTAACATCTTGTCATTAATGATGTTCATTAAACCAGGAGATTTTGAGACAGAATGATGATCATGACTTCTATGTTCCTGTTATTCTGTCATATAGTGTATGTGGTATTCTTCCTAATGCCAATTAAACTGAATTGTTTTTCTTCTCATTAACATGTCCATCTGTTCAAATCGGAAATCGGGCAAAGAGGTAGATGAACTCATGAAGTTTTATTGGTGCATTTCCCAAGAAATATAACAATTGAAAGCAATTAATATTTCACAGACAAGGTAACAGTAGGGTTCCGTTAATCTGATCTAACCTTGCACCCAGTCTATATAAGGACCGCCATTCACAACAAAACAAATGATGCGCCTTGCGTTTCAAGAGTCAATCATTGATTTTTCTGATCTTCCTTTATAGAACGAACAATACTCATGTTCGCCAAACATTCTTTGAAATATCGATCTTATGTCAAACGAAGAAAATACGAATCCTGCTCCAACATAATTATCTTTCCGTTTTGTTTCGACAGTGGTAGAAAGAGATATCGTTAGATCGTTCGATACTCGTTAGAGTGACTTTATTTTTTGTATGATGGTTGAGTAAACAATTCATTCGAACGTGACTATCTCTTTAAATCATCGCGAAAATTTTATTCGGTGTCAATGTTTGATGTCAATGGTTATGTTTGTGTTGTCGTATGCACATCGTGGGTTTGCCATAGGAACTAGACTCCTGTTTTAACATAACTGAGGGAATTTTCAATAATTTTCGTCGCCAACAGACGGAGGATATAAACTTACATTCACGTTCGTCTACATACTTTATACCGGGTCCGGATTTCAGTATCTACACCAGGCTCAGGTAAGAGTAAAATACCAGTAAACACCTAGTAACGCTTGGTTTCCTTTGCAAAATTCAATGTAGTGCGTAACCCGCGTGATTTCTTAAACTGACTTTTAAGTTTTATGTCGTGCATGTCGAGAGCTTCAGTATAAACATGTTGAGGGATTTAAAAATCTCTTTTAGAAATTATTCTGACTAAATTTGAAAAGTTGTTATTGGACTTAATTAGACCCTATAAAGGTGATTTCTTTCTTCTTCCATGCATAGTCTTTTAAGTTATTTATTTATTTATTATTCTTTTGGGTTGCCCATAAAGTCTAACTGTCATAAAGTAATCGCATTTTGGTATTTTCATGTCGAGCGAGGTATTGTATGTCTTGAATATTTAGGGGGAAAATCCCTTCAACTTATAGCGTCAGTATATCACACTGTGAAAAGGTTGGGCAATATTTGTTCAACACTTTGCCCAACGTTGTGCCAATAGTCAACCCAACCATCTATTGGAAAATATTTTGCCCAGTGGTAATTACCCTACTTCACACGTGCATAATTATTGTTTCGTATTTTGACCAAAATTTGGGCAAAGATATGACCCTTCAACTCCCCGACTATGGTAGCCCACTTGTTGGGAAAAATACGAAAATATTGCCCAATAGATGGTTGGGTTGACTATTGACAATATGTTGGAAAATATTGCCCAACCTTTTCACAGTGCACGGAATATCGTGAAGTATGAGGAGGAGGGGGGGGGGCACCGAAATATTATCTCATCATGAGGTAAAGTCTATTCCGTTCTGGGACTTGGAGACTTGGCTGGTTAGTTGGTTGGTTTTATTTTCCGTATAAAAATTCAAATACATACAAGAATACAATTTACAAAAATTACAAATCAAGAATTAAAAACGGCTGGAATGCTCTATTCAGTGCCATTATCAAAATGACTCTGTTCTTCCTAAAGGTCTGGCTTAACCCAAGTCACAAGTTAAAAGATGCTAAAAAATAATTATAAAAAAAAATCAAAGTCGACGGATTTTTATGTCCAGCCTAGCGCATATCGGCTTCTAAATTAAAATGCTTATTTATTGTCTTTCGAAATATTAAGGGTATCTGCCACATCAGTGCCGGTCTTCCTGTGGTTCCTGCAATTATCAATGATAATACCCCATCATTACCAGGCTCCCCTCAAGATCCGATAGAGATAAATGCAGGCAAAATACATTGACCAAGAATGTGCGTACTTTACGGGAAGATTGAACCCTGACCTCTCGTTTCAGAATCAAAAGTCTTGTCAAATAATATGATGGTGTACACATCTAACATTTTGAGAATTATGACGAAAAAACATTCGTTAAATATGCAACCGATGAAGATACTAGAAGCGAAGAAAAGTAGGAAGGGAAACAACGAAGTTTCAAAGACATAGGCTTTGATGATCCAGCAGAATGTTATGTTAAATAAATTTGTTATTGTATCTTGCCTATATTCGAACTAATAGAATAAGATGTTCGTTCAAATCATCTACAACCTCAAGTGGGATCATTTTCTGGCTATTTTTTTTATTTCATTCTTTCCTACACTTGTACTTTTAAAATGAAATTACTTGTCATAACAAAGTCTTTTAAGTATAAATACAATAACATAATGATATATAACGCCTATATAACGTCCCTTTGGAAGTTGTGAAATTATGGACTTACTTGAAAACTAAGCTAACAAAAAGTTTGTTTCCCTCCCTCGGTGTTTCATTCATCATTTCTTCAAAGAGTCGACTATTAAACTTGAACGAACTGCAAAGCCGTGCACGCAAGTGTGACATTTACAAAGCCTTTGATTCCTATTCAATACGACGCTGGTTTATGTCGTCATGACAACCAATGTATACAAACGTGGTTATTTTTAGTCTTTGTGGAATTGGGATGTGGTTATAGATAGATAGAAATCGATAGATACATCTACCCAGAATGAATGGGGGTAACGACTGGCTCAGAAACAATAATAAGTGGTCTCATAATATCAAATCACAGATAAACTGATAAAGGTTTGGGACAAATATCCTAAACTATGGCAAAATTACATTAAATACCATCATTGATATCGTGTCATGTAGACCCTGCCATTATACTCAACCAAAACAGGAATTTCCCATTGATAATATTTAATGGAAATCGAGGAAAAATTGATAAAATTATGAAGGAATCTACACTGTATTATAAACTGACTTTGTTCCTTTTCTTGCCCGGAATTCTGATTTGGAAAAATGTGCTTTTCGACTGGTTAAGGAATGATACGTGAGAAAGGAAGAGAGAGAGAGAGAGAGAGAGAGAGAGAGAGAGGAGAGAGAGAGAGAGAGAGAGAGAGAGAGGGAGGATGGGGGTATTTGGGAGGTTCATGAATAATGGGTGATACGAGAGAAAGGGAGAGAGAGAGAACAAGATAGGGGGGGGGGGGTATTCAGGTTTTTTTTCACGACATGTTTTCGATGACAATTGAAGAAGAAGAAGGGGAAAGAAAAAAATATCGAAGTTAGCATGAGTTCTATTTCCCGGGGTCACCCCCTAGAGCTCACCCCGCTACCATCTAGCTTGGCGTTGCCATGCCAACCATTGCAGACAATGCGGTCGTCTGCTCGTGTATTCATCACAAACTGTGGTGAACTTGTATTTGTTCGCAAAAGACTCTCGATCGATTTCTCCCTTGCTGTAGTGACATGCGAAATATAAAGTTACTCAACGGACCGTATGAACTTGAGTGGTTTATCCCACCGCCCGGTGAACATGGACTATGCATGAAAATTGACAGCGGACGTGTTGGAAGGAAGCTTAAAATCCTCCTAATGCTAATACTTTTTTCTTACCGTTCTCAATGGTCATGAACTTATGTGCTTTGAGATCACAGCGAACACATCAGGAGATTTGCTTTGAATGCCGATGGTAATATTCTTCATGATAGTGTTATCTTATACTGAAATGCAATTTGGTTACAACAGACAAGTTAGGACTTTGTCTTCAATAGAAACAGTAGGATTGGTAATATAACGACAGCGGACTATAATTTCCCAAATGATCTGTTCCTGATAATTTGCACCTACCGTTCCCAACGATCTACCCATGAATGTGCTGTGATTATTTATGGATCGTGAAGTAAAATTGCTGAGGGATTATTTTCGTTTGCTAGAGAGGAGTATGGTGAAATATTGATAGCCGCCAGCAGATGAATGTAATTATTTACTGTCATCATAACAATTGTGTGTTCATTTATCATTATTCTACGGCATGGTTCTCAACGATCTGATGCTCATTTATCGTCTCTTATTCATTCGGAGGTGCAATCATTCTGGATTTTTGTTCAGTTGATAAAGGTGAACTGCCAACAGACTAATGACATATAAACACGACGGACAAAGAAAGAGGACAAAATATACAGTTCCTCATTCTACCCTCAACAATCGCTGTAGTAGACAAAGGAACATCCCTTCACTGCTTTTATGTAAAAATGTGTATGTTGAATATGCATGTGACACCTGTTCTACACATTTTTAGGAGGGATGTATGTTCCTTTGTCTACCTGAGGAACTGTATATTTTGTCCTCTTTCTTTGTCCGTCATGTCGCAATGTCCCACATCATCTTTTCGTGGCTATTCCTACCATCCCCAATGACCGTGTACTCTGTGCTATGTGCCTGTGTACTAAACTGTAATCATCAGGTTTTTCCCAATATATACTGAGTGGTAGGGAGGAACACTTTTCTTGATATTCGAGGGTGGATTGATGTAGAAGTATTTACCAACTCATATATCTCTTTATGATAGGCCTAGTTTGATATTCATACTATTGTGACAAGTCTAGAGTGGAATTGTCGGGAATTCGTTTTCAAAAGATACAGGAGTACTACATTAACATTCACCAAACATTTTTTTTCTGGTTTCTAAATCCTACCGTTCTCCACGATTTTGTATTCCGATCTGTGCTGCAATTATTTAGTCATTCCGAGTATGCTGAAGTAGGATATTCAAGAGCTTTGTTTTAGTGGTTTGAAGGAGGTAGTTAAAACATCTATTAGGTAAATTTCTCCACTCAAGCAGACAGCTAACAACTAAATTATCCATATCCCTTGTTAATTTGATGTTTAAAAAATATATATTTTTCGTTACTCAAGTATGTATGGTGGACTGGTTGAATTAGGGCCTAAATGTGCTGACTAATTTTATATGTAAGTTTTTATATGTCAAATTCTCAAATAAAATAAATCTGGAGAGACCAATTTGTCGCATGCTTAAAAAAATACAAAACTTGGTAAGGGTGCGAATAATTTAGTTGCTAACTGTGTCACACATACACATACACGACTATAGTAAAGTAGTATAATGCCCATGTATAGCCTGTTTGTAGTTTTCAAGCGCGTATAATTAAGGGATATAAAAATGACAACCATGGTAACGTTGGTGTAATGGATGAATTCATTCCTAGATACATCACGGACATGATATTTGACCCCCTCCCCCGATTCGTCTCCTATATCCTCATGGTTGCCCCCTCCCCCGATAAACAAGCAAGAGAAATGTAATTTATTATCATCTCTAGATTATACATTCCTGGGCCTCGTCTTGTAAAGAGTTGCGATTGATCCAAACCAGACGCAATTCCTCCAGTCAATCGCAAGTTTGCAGTCTCCTAACTCTTATGTACAAGGTTGCAATTAAAGATAAACTTGAGTTCTGGTAAAAAAAGAAAATGAATTCTCACAAAATCTAACGAAACTTACACTGAATGTTCAAGATTACAAATAAATGTCATGTGCCAAACAATTTTGGAAGAAAATGTATACTGGCTGAGTAATGAGCATAGAAAGAAAAGAAAATCAGGGTAGTACTAGCCCAGACACCATGTGTGTTGTCCCATATACATCTATCTGTGTAAGTGATTGTTACTTTACCAAGACTCTGCCAAATTTATGATGATTTTGATGACTCTAGAACCTTGCATTACACACCATTACTTACATGCTATATGATCAACTTTTCTGATCCATTCCACACCTTTTCTTTCACAATGCAATCGCATTACCAGTACTCAAGTTTATCTTTAATGTCAACTCCTTATTAGACGGAGCCCTGAAGTGGAATTTGATAGTACGTTAATTTGTGCTATTTCTGTTAATTGTAATTTTGGCATTTGCACTCAATCATCATTTTTACACTATAATTTAGATTTGTTGGTCATCCTTTGCTTAACAATAATGAGAATGATCCTACATATTAGTTCTAATCAATAAATTTAAATGTTGATTATATTGTCGGCTTGGTTTGGGAAAGAAGGAGGGGGGGGGGGGGTTAGGGCAGCAGCCAAATTAATTTGAAGGAAAAAGTGGTTATTCTTAGTAGGTCTGAACGTCTTGAGATTTATGGATTAATTCTGTCGTACATCATTATAATTATCTCTCATTGTTTGTATCCGCCACCCTGCTAATTGTTATACACGATGGCCGTTATTTTATGAGTGTATGTCAAATTGTATATCACCGGTTGCAATGATACTCAGTACTTCCATGTATGATGACTGTACAGTTAACAAGTAAATTATTCGTACCCTTCCCAAGTTATGTAATTTGTTAGGTATGTGAACAAAAGTATTTGTACCGATTTATGTTTCATAAGAATGTGACATATTACAGCTACCATCTTAAAGTATTCAACAGGCCCCAATTCAACTAGTCCAGATCAAATTTAAAAGAGGTATGAATAATTCTGTTGTCAACTGAATATTCCAAAATTCAGCTCTTGAGCTGCGATACTTTTTTAATAAACACCTTTTCAGTTTAATAATGTTTTGTTACAATACTGAGCAAAATCCCAATTGCGATGTGAAATCTTCATGCGTTGCACAGTAATCGAGAGCTTGAGGGCGCATGTGTTTAGGGATTAATGCTTCCTCACTCAAATGTTGTTATCATTCTGTGAGGTACATTTCAAGTAGTTATCTATTGGGCAAAGTTTTCGGTGTTCGGGGGGGGGGGGGTGCTTTTCTCATGATGTTTAGTCATCCAGGATTGAGATAGTAATGTTGTCCTATGATCATTATTAATAAATGATATCTCTCGATCTGTATTGACTTGGACAGCTATATTCGATTCTATCATGAAATATGGCCTAATAAATTCAAATTCAACTGCAAGTGACTGAATTGGATGTAATTTATAGGGCCTAATGATCTTAAGTGCTTGGAAAAAATACGAAAAAGTTAAAGACAGAGATAACAACATGTATACTGTTAAAAGAGGCGTTTTGTCTCTGAGTATTAAAATGAAACTATGAACAAATGTATTACCGTTATCACCCACAATTGTCCTTTCGATAAATATTTTCTTGCACTGTTCTGCCGCGGCACTAATGTCCTTTGGCAAGACATTGATCTACATTTGCCACACTCAACCCAGGTGAGGTAAATGGGTACCTGGTAGGATTATTCCTTGAAATGCACTGTGCGCTGATAAGGCTGCCGGAGCTATAAAGCTAGGGTAATAAAGTCCAAAGCTCTTTGGGAGCGCATAGAGATGTTATTTCATAACGTATTATGCGCTATACAAGAACTGAACTATTATCATTATTATTATTATTTATTTGCTTTCGCTTTCGATGAACACTTTGCTAGAGCACGATGTTGGCACTTTCAAGAACTTGCATTTTAGTAGTATATGTTGAATGATAATCATTATTCTTTTTCTTTCTTCTTCCTTTCAGCAACGAAGGTGCCCAAGCTCATACCACATTATCATCATCGGTTGGTAAAATCGGCGTATTATAGGCAGGACAAATTTTCGGGGATTGAGAAAATATGGACTCATTAAAAACAATTAAATACTGTGAAATTCTAGACTCTATCTGGAATACCTTGTGATTTACAATCAAACATCGAATTGAGACGAGCTAGGAGCTGATAGATTGCAACGTCTTATTTCAATTTCAACCTATCATTGTCCTCTTAAAACTATAGTATAAGCCCATTGCTCATCTAAAACAAAATGGCGGCGTTAAGTGAGCATAATCTAGAACAGTTCAACCAGCAACAACCCACCGGCAGACGCCGAACCTCGATCATGTCTCGCCGAACATCCATTGTGAGTAGTCACTCGACCTCCAAAGATGGCGACACGATGGGACCACCTGGTCATCCAGGCAAATGGCGACGTATGTCGAGAGCGTACTCGATCTCGATGGGCAGTCATCGAGGTGCTCATGCCTTGCGATCCGCCGCCGAGTCGCAGCAGTCGAAACCTGCGCCGAAGTTCGAGAACACGTACAAGATGAAGCCCGATGAAGAAGCGGTCTTCAAACCGAGCGCTGTACGATCCATCTTGGAAAACGTCCTTGAGCGGTACCTATCAACCGCGCAATACGCTCCTAAAACCGTCTCCATATTCACACAGAACATCGTGGACGAGGTGAAGAGGCGAGTAAAGGACTTGAAGATGCCGAGGTACAAGATAGTCTGCCAGGTTTACATCGGGTCCAAGAACGGACAGAGCATGCAGATGGTGAGCCGAGCAGTCTGGAACACAGATACGGACAACTTCGCTACTGCTAGCTTTCAGAACCAGTCGCTCTATGCCATAGCTTCGGTACACGCAACGTATTTCGAGTAACCATTGAACAACTCATTCACCAATTTAAGTGTACATATTTAGTGGGGGTAGCTTCGGGGCGGGGGGTAACGGGGCGCATGCCCCCAATCGAGTCGCGAAAATGGAAAGAAAATATGAGAAAGGAGAGAAAGGAAACGTGAGACGATATACAACCTGCTGTGATCAGAACACCCACTTACCAATGGCCTTGTATTTCATCAATTAAGTAACCCGGTGCCCCCTTTCTTTCTGGACCCTTGCTACGCCACTGTAAATCGTCACGAGATATTTGTAAAGCAAGAATATTGTGACTTTGCTTCTTTGTGAGGATTCCTTCAAAATTATCAGCTTGTGAGACAAATTTGGACAAGGCATAAAGGACTTGCCAAGCAGGAAAATTAGGATGGAAGAACTGTACAATAGAGACCGGCTGACCGGCGGATTGTGCCATCATGTTTTATGACAATTCCGGATGACAATTGCACGAGGTTTGCACGATACGGCATGCAAAGTGCACTGCATCAATAAAGATACATGTACTTTTTAATCATTCATTCAATGAAATACAAAATATTCCTGTTTAGAGCAGAGCCATTTATACACAGAGTTTGGCCAACTTGGTTTCACTGGGTCACATCATGGCGTAACTATATTCTTTTGTTTTGTGCTTGCCCAAACAAAGCAGTAGTCGCCATATTGTCTCGAACTCAACCGGGTTGGCCAAACTATGTGTATAGATGGCTTTGGTTTACATAATATGAATTTGTACATGACAGTATGTGCCTTTCAAAGCATCCCCTTTTGATTGTGCTACTTTAATGGGAGATCCAACCTTGATAGCAAATTATTCTAAAGGAAAGCAGAGAAAGTAGCAAAGTAGACTGGTGAAAGTTTTAATGAAATCGGACAAAAAACGAGAAAATTATGATTTCTTTTTAAAGTTGTAATAGGTATGGGCTCTTCAAACGTGCTGAATCGGTAATGTCTCTGTGATGTAGGGGCGGAATATTTTCTCATTAGTTTTGTTCCAACACACAAAATACCTAAAATTTCAATTTTTCAAAAAATGTATGAATCTTTTCTCTTTAGTATATCTAAAATAACATGCTGTACATAATATATTTTGAGTATTACGTGCCCCAAGGGAGAAGGCATTTATGAGAAAAACCATACATTTATTTTATTTATGTACACAACAAGCGGGAGATTTATTCGCGACTATTGTGTTACAATTTACTGACCAAGCTGCCAATTTGAGATTCGCATAGACTTAGTGATCTCATATTTCAAACATTCATAAGTTTTAATATTATTTGTCCAATTTATTTCAAACTTTCACCAATCTATTACTCATGTTTTTCTGCTTTCATGCACATGAATTTATTCAAAGGGTTTGATTACCATTTAATGTAATTTGAACGTGAAAAGCATTTGATCGAAACTGAGGAACTATTATATTGTGTAATTTGGGGTTTGATTTTTAACTTGAGATTACAAGGGAGCCTGATACAAGAAAGATGAAACTGTGATGATTTTGCCTGGTGTGATATACATATTTTTGTGATGAAAGATTTATTTTGATGTTCAATTTACAATACAATACAAAACAAAGTCATTTCTATAGCGCTCTTACAAATTTGTTCGTGATAAATGATTCGGACCAAATTATAGGATTTGGACAAGAACTAATACAATTGAAAAGAAGATAAGAAGATAATATATTAGAAAGACGATTCTCCATCATACTTTTAACCCCAATTAAAGATTTCAGACAAATTCCAGCGACAATAAATTCTAAGGCTCTCATTGACCCCAACACTGTGTTCAAAATTGGTCTAAAGTCGAGTTTAAAAAAAAAAGGAATAGAAAGAGGTCTATAAGTTTTCTTTTTCAATCAAGAAGTTATAAATGTTGACCCTTTATGACCTGGTATGAGTTTTAAGTGAACCACAAGGTACGGGGTTCGAATCTCTGCCACAGCCCTAATAATGTCCTTTGTCTCGACATCGATCTACATTTGCCACACTCGACCCAGGTGTACTAAGTAAATATATTATAGGGTTTATTCCTTGAATGCACTGGGCGCTGGTATTAATATGCAAAGTCATCCATGTCAAATTATTTCTTTATAAAATACCTCCCAGTTTAGGAGTTCTTAATTATATTACTTTGTTTGTTATGGAATTGTGATATTTTTTTTTTCATAAAGAAGTTTGAACTTGGCGCTTCATTATCAGCGACCTCTAGAACTTGATGGCCATTGTGGTTATAATTATAGGCCTATAGACCATTAATTTTATTGTACGTCCAGTACACTACCAGAATTATCAGATTGTGTTGATATTGCATCAATTAAGTGATGAGCATTTTCTATCTGAAATATATAATGGAGAGCCTTTATTAAATCGTTAAATCTATACGTTATAATTGTCTGTACATGCCACCGGGACGACAGCTGTGAAAAAATTGTTCAGAGATATTTTATTCTGTATTGTATAGTAATCCATGTAATGGTAATGTATCGAACATTTCGATTGCTTGATGATCTGAACAGGCAGTGTTGAATTTTGTGTGGTTTTATTTGAAATTTGATGCTTGCACCGTTAATCTTTTGCTAACTGTTATATTATGAAATGTGTTTCTTCGGCTTCAGTGTTCATATAATTATAATAAATATACATGTATATAATATTATTTCAACGAAACCCTGAACCTCGCCTGAATCATGTGTCGTTTTGTTTTCGGAAGATGGAGGGGCAAACAAAATTGAATGAGGGATAGTGGGAGGGAGAGAGAGAGAGAGAGAGAGAGAGAGGGGGGAGAGAGAGAGAGAGAGAGGGGGGAGAGAGAGAGAGGGGGAGAGAGAGAGAGAGAGAGAGAGGAGGAGAGAGAGGGAGGGGGCGAGAGAGAGAGATAGAGAGAGAGAGAGAGAGAGAGAGAGAGAGAGAGAAGGGGGGTCCAATAGGGGCTAATCAACAAAAGACCCTCGCCCCCTTTTTGGAAACATCGGAATGGTTATCAGAGATCACCAAGAGCGGAGAGTGTTGAAGTTACGGGTGTTGAACAAATTGCGAACCCTTTATAATCGCTTCAAATCAATAATTTTAAAGGTATAGACCAGTTTTGGAAACGCCCCCCTCTCAAAAAATGAAATGGAAGCTCTTCTTACCAATCATGTGAAAGAATATGTTTGGATTAATAAGAGATGATACAAATTTTGCCGGGAAACCGCCTAAGTATTAATAATATTTGGTAAATTATCATATTGATCCGGCCTGGATAGATATCGCGAATGCACTTCAACATTGAACATTTGGGCATATATTTCTGCTTTTTTTTGTGGCGAATTTAGGTTGAAGTATTGCAATCTAAAAGTCTGAAGGCAATAGCTAAACAATATTGAATGGATATTTTGCACCCAAACCCTTGAACCGCAATTTTACCACTACCGGTCGATATCTTTAAACTAGTCTCTGTAATATTTTGATTTGATTTGTTTCCGTATCGATATAATCAGGTACGTGATATAACTATAAGTCATGTAGAATCGATAACTGACATAAAACAATGCCATAAAATAACGAGAACGTAGTAGAAATATTGAAAAACTGAAGTTTTGAATTGAGAATAGAATTGAACGTTAATTGTTAACCTAAATATATCGATTAAAACGGAGGGGCATGCTAAAAAAAAGTAATTTTTTATATATTGGTTTATTCTATTTTATCATCTACGAATGCAAGCAGGCAAAGGAATCGTGTTTGAGTCTGAGTTTGAGTTTGAATTTTTATTATCCAAATAAAAAGTACACTAATATAACAATCAAATGTAAATGTTTAACATTGAAAGGATAAATGGGACCATAAAAATGCTTGTGTCAGGTACCACTAACACACACAGGTATAACAACAATGAATGAGAATGTAATGATTGAATATGAATAACTATTGAACACAATAGGCTGTGATATGTTCTGTGATTAAATACAAAGCTTTGGTATTTTACACTAAATAAAAAGATAAAGAATTATATAACCTAATATTTACAAAAAGGCAAGAACCTCGGTTCAAAGTCCCAATAATTATTCTATTAACATTAGTGATATTAGAGTTCTACGAAAGCAAGACACTGCTTTATTCCGTACAGATAGGGGTAGATCATTCCAAAAGCGTGTGCCTCTGAATGACATTGAAAATGTACCCTACGTTGTCCTATACTTTATGCATATTCGACTTCTTTCTTTCTCTTTGCCTCATATTTGTGCCCTATGAAACAGCAACAACTGCGGCACTTTATCATTCAATAATAACAAAACACATATAGTTTATGGAGTTGATACACATCAATAATTTTAGCTCCCGAAATATCGTTTGTGAATGAGTCCTATTTGGACTAAATGTTATAACTCTCAGTGCCATCTTTTGGCTTAATAATAAACACTTGTTTATTTCATAATTACTTCCTCGAACCTCAATTCCATAGGTCATATGCGGTTGAACTAACGTTTTGTACACTCAGTGTATGAATAATCATTTTAAATAAATCAAACTTTGGCCGAGCAGCACGACAAGAATGACAAGCGCCGACTATAATGTCTCTATTGATTGATGGCGCTATACAAATTCTTACTGATTGTACCCATTGATAATGAGGTTGTAGCTTGGATCTCAACCAATCTCTAGCTCTATATACCTTCTTCGCTAATGGTAGGTATTATTTAATCAGCTGGAAAGTCATGTTTCTAAATTAATATAGCAGCAAACCTAACTATAAACTCTAACCTTAAACCTAAACCTAACACCAACCCTATCTAATGCATATGGTATTCAATATTAATGCAAATGAGCTACTTAAGAAACATTACATTATGCAATAATTGGCTTTTTTTATTTAAAAAAATTAGAACTTACTATGCATCTACAACTGATTAAATGATGCCTATCCTCGCTGGTATGCATATAATAGTAATATGCACTGGCGGCTATGATTGCTGTGTGTGTGCTTGTGGGGGGGGGGGGGCAGTGGCGGATCCAGGGGCAGGGGCGGGGGCCCGGGCCCCCCCTTGAGAAAAAAATCATGCAAAATCACGCGATTTTTACCTTTTGGGGGGGGGGGGGTTGGGCCCCCCCCCCTGGCGCTCAAGGGGGGGTGCAAATTTTAAAATTTTCGAGGACCAAAAAAAAAATTGTGCTCACTACCCCCCCCCCCCCCCTACACACTAGTTAAAATCCGGCCTACAAAATATAATTATTTTCAACACAAAGTATATACATATAAATAATTATATATTTCGAAATTTGTCCTGATTAAGAAGAAATTGACTCAGAAAATAAATTATTATGCACAGGAAGAATAATACAAAAAATGAGGGATTTGGGCTGTAGGGCTAAAACTTGTTATTTATTTAGTGCAGCTTTTGCTTGGCACTTACCCAAACATACACTTATGATATAATACTAAAAAGAAACTGCTCATTCAGTTATCAATAAATCCATAGACCTATACGTCCATTTCATTTTGATTTGATTTGATTTGATTTATTGGTTTCTGCATCTTTTTTTTTATCATACATTTTCATGAACATAATATGGTTTGATACAATATTTTAAGTGTATGTAAATTTATAAACATAATAAACGAAATTAAACAAATATATTGAATGTATAATTAACATACATTAGATGCATGAGGGCTACAGAAATAAACAAAGTAGCTTGACGTGCCCGCAGCCCTTAGTTACAAAATAAAAAATATAAATAAAAAAGAGTGTGATTTTAAAACAAAAGCCCAAGCTTTCGAATTATCTATTTACAGTTCATTTTCTCAGACATTTTAAATCACAAAACTATAAGTTTTTCAACTATCAGTAGACCCCTATTATAACAGTAACAGTCCATTTTCTCAGAAACGGGTGCATTGCGGTTTTCATGGACGCGAGGTTGGTAATGTGTATGTTTTCGTTTTTTCCCACGCTAGCTAGCTAGCTGCGCATGTGAGTACGAGTTATGTCGAGGATAGGGTGCCAGGTAAAAATGTCAGAGGTAAAAATGTCAGAGGAAATAATGTCAGAGGTAAAAATGTCAGAGGTAAAAATGTCAAAGGAAAAAATGTCAGAAGTAAAAATGTCAGAGGTAAAAATGTCAGAGGTAAAAATGTCAGAGGTAAAAATGTCAGAGGAAAAAATGTCAGAGGTAAAAATGTCAGAGGTAAAAATGTCAGAGGAAAAAATGTCAGAGGTAAAAATGTCAGAGGTAAAAATGTCAAAGGAAAAAATGTCAGGAGTAAAAATGTCAGAGGTAAAAATGTAAGAGGTAAAAATGTCAGAGGAAAGAATCAGAGGAAAAAATGTCAGAGGTAAAAATGTCAGAGGTAAAAATGTCAGAGGAAAAAATGTCAGAAGTAAAAATGTCAGAGGAAAAAATGTCAGAGGTAAAAATGTCAGAGGTAAAAATGTCAGAGGTAAAAATGTCAGTCGTAAAAATGTCAGAGGTACAAGCAAAAAAAATGAGTGCAGTTATAATATCTCAGCACTTTTATCACACAGAATGTCGAGACGTACTGCTACTGCATGGGCTAGTCTATAATATTCCTTTCTTCCATAATGTAAATTTTATAAATGGCTGTGTGTTGTATTTCGTACATGTCCTGAGGATAATACAATGTGGAAAATGGATTTTGAAATTTATTTTGTTGTGATCAGGCTTGCATATTTATATGTATGAATGTCTAACATTTTTTGATATTTTGAATTGGTTGATGTGTTAATGTTTGTGAAACGGACCGGTTTGGCCGGTGGCAGCCTGCAACCTAGCCCCCCCCCCGAAAATAAATATTAAGGTCCGCTACCTGAATGTCGGCGGGTGTGGGGGGGGGGGGAGGGGGGAGGGGAGGTGAGCTTGAGGATGTTTCATGATTCAAATGTTATTGATTTAAATTCTCAATTATGTTTATAACATTGGATAACAAATTTCAAACCTACTTAAAAACAAGACAAATATTTAGGGCCATGTATCGCCTTGGGGGTGTCCTCCGTCCAATATTTCCATATGTTATGAGCATTTTGGATATTGCTTAGGCCTATTTCATTTTATGAATAAAAACCCTCATCCCGTATTATGAATAGCGACCCTCTACTCCTATTATGAATAGTGACCCTATTATGAATAGCGACCCTCATTTCGTATTATGAATAGCAACCCTCTACTATTATGAATAGCTCTTCTCCTATTATGAATAGCGACCCTCTTCTCCTATTATGAATAGCGAACCTCATTTCCTGTTACGAATAGCGACCCTCTTCTCCTATTATGAATAGCGAACCTCATTTCGTATTATGAATAGCGATCCTCTTCTCCTATTATGAATAGCGACCTCTTCTCCTATTATGAATAGCGAACCTCATTTCGTATTATGAATAGCAACCCTCTACTCCTATTATGAATTGCTCTTCTCCTATATTGAATAGCGACCCTCTTCTATTATGAATAGCGACCCTCTTCTCCTATTATGAATAGTGACCCTATTATGAATAGCGACCCTCATTTCGTATTATGAATAGCAACCCTCTACTATTATGAATAGCTCTTCTCCTATTATGAATAGCGACCCTCTTCTCCTATTATGAATAGTGACCCTATTATGAATAGCGACCCTCATTTCGTATTATGAATAGCAACCCTCTACTATTATGAATAGCTCTTCTCCTATTATGA